TCCTAATTATATTTTAGATTTTTTATATTTAAAATAAGATGTTTATCTTGTATTTGATTATGTTTATCTGCAATTAGTTACACGAATTCAGATATGTAGCTTTAATAAGTTGTACTTACGAACAATCTACTTGTAATCTTCAGTTTTAAGTAATATGCATTAATAAACAGTAATTTACGCATAAAAAGTAGTTTTTAAGAGTTTTTGTCAAATGCTTTATAATATAGTATAGATATAGATTTTTTTTTATAATTTAATTTAAGTTTAATAATGAAAAATTTATTTTTGGTTTAATAATATAACATTTTATAAAGATAATAATTAAGTATTCTGTTAGAACTCCATGATTATCCTAATTATATTTTAGATTTTTTATATTTAAAATGAGATGTTTATCCTGTATTTGATTGTGTTTATCTGCAGTTAGTTATACGAATTCAGATATGGGATGAATTCGGATAGGGATGAACGGGTTTAAGAGTTTTTAAGAGTTGTAAGAGTTTTTAATAGTTTAACCAAATGTTTTATAAGATAGTATAGATTAATGAAACTAATTTATTTTTCATCTTGCAATTATTTCATGACGAACTGCCTACATTATGCACCCGTTTCATTTTTCATTTCATCTACTGAATGGATCACCTACACCATCACTGAAACGAGTTTCACCATGAAAGCAGTTCACCACTCATTGTTCAAATATGTCATGAACCAGTTTCACCTTCATGAAACCTGTTTTATGTAAATTAATTTTTTTATTTCACTCATGATTTGATGCATTCTTTCCTTTAATCCTTACAATCTTCAAGATTCTGGAGCAGGTTACAATCTTCAAGATCCCGAAACAGATTCATCATGTACCCGTTTCATCATGCAATTATTTCATGACGAACCAAATAAATTATGCATCCGTTTCATGTTCCATTTTTTCTACTAAACGGATCAACTACACCATCACTGAAACGTGGTTTACTATGAAACGATTTCATATTACTCATGAATCAATTACAACATGAACCAGTTTCACCTTCATGAAWCCTGTTTCATTAACATTATTTTTTTAATTTGAACCATAATTTACGATTTCATTTCATAATGCAATACAATCTTCAAGACCCGTTTGCAGATTCAATCTCATAACAATATATCAAATTCAAAATTTTAATATTATAATATAATTAAATATTTAAATGTTACAATTTATACAATTTCTTTTATTAAGTTTCCTTAATTAAGATTTATTAATAACTTCCATATTTAATAGAAAATATTGTAAATGACCGAAATACCCTTATTGATTAAATTTAATTAGAAAAAATGGAATTTTCCTATTGGTCGAAATTGGTTTACACGGTTTTTTTAAAAATATACGGTTTTCATTTGAACGTGCCCCTATATATATAGGGGATCGTTCAAATAAAAACCACTCAATTTGTAAAAACCGTGAAAACCTCGTTCAAACAATCATAATTTTTCATTTTGTTCATTTTTTTGTAATTATGAGAAGTTGATTAACCATTTTTATTGTGGAGGGTGTTAATAATGAATATTATCATCTTCATTATTTTAATTTTAGAGAAATACATGAAACAGTTTCATCAAAATTTCATTAAATATTATATGAAACAATTTCATAATCATATATGAAACAAATTCATCAAAAAAAGTATTATATGAAACAATTTCATGAAAAAATTTCATAAGATTAAACAATGAAATCGACATATGAGGGTGGTTTGTACGTTTTTTACAAATGAGGGTGGTTTTCATTTGATCGCTTATCTCTCTCTCTCTCTCTCTCTATATATATATATATATATATATATATATATATATATGATCAATGCCACATGATGAATACTTTTTGTGGAAGGGTTTCTTTGCATACATCATTTAGGGATTATTCAGTTCGCTTTCTATCAAAACCTGTTGTTCGGTATAAATTGTTGTTTTCGGTTGTTGTGTTGAATAAACCGCTTAAATGTTAGAATAACCATTTGACCCCTCAGTCTATATTTTTGTCTGAGTAAAATAACCGTTTAATAAAAACTTTGAATATATGACTTCGAATGATTAAAAAAAGCAATTTAAACTTTGTTCTAAATAAAAACAATTTAATATAACATAAAAAATACAAATTCGAAGTTATAATCAAAACAACATTAATCCAGTTGAATTTTAAGCACCGATGTGCCCCATAAACCATAATCTCTATATACAACTGGTTTGTGGATTGTCCAAGTCCAAGGTGCGATAATATGTTTGATTATTTGTTGTTTTCCTTTCCTTAGTATCTACTTTGTTGAAAGGATCACACACAAAAACATCATCAATTAAGGATTAATTTTAGAATTTAGAAGATAATGTATCTATCGAAAAAACCAAAATTCACACAAGATGAAAACCAGTTTGAGAAATTTGAATTTTAAGAGGGTGGTTGTTTCATGGATGGATCGATCGATAGTGATTTATTTGATTTAGGGAGTGATCAATCATACAAAAGGGGTTGTGTGTGAAAGCAAAGATTCTGGTGGTAGGATTTTTTTTCCTTACTTTTTTTATCCTATGTAGCTTTTGTTTTGAATGTAAAGGTAGTTTTTCGTTCATGGGTTGTTGGGGAATTATTGATGGTTGATATAACACTCGTGTTTTTGCGGTTAATCGTTTAAGAGTGGAGATTTGTTTTAGCAAGTCATTTAGTGTCCATCCATTATTGACTGTTTGTGGAATTTGAATCAAGGATGGTTGATTTGGGATGAATAAAAGTTGCATTGAAAGTCATCCGGGGCATTAAGATA